TCGAAAAACTTCGCGTCTAAACAGGCTCTGATTACCAAGTGTGACGATCTAGGATCGAGCTCAGAAAAGAGAATATGAAGTGATGATCACCTGGGTATAACACGAGGCTATATATAGGCTCGACACAAGGCCCAGTAACCAGGTGTTACGCGAAGGTTCCGCGGGTCGCGAAGCGTCCCGAACAGATCCTTCCCGAATTCGGTAGAAGGCAATTCGGTGGCAACCGAAAAGCCAGAATTCGGTGCACGCAACCTAGCTCGGTGCGATAACTATAATATAATATGGGAAAGCACCTAGCCTAGGAAATCAAGCAATTCATGCATGCATATAATTATCCTATGCTAGAAATAGCATAATAAAGTAAAGGCAAGCAAGCATAGCTAGCATAAGCCGTCGTACTCTCACAGCGTCGTTGCTGACGTGGCGTTGTTGTACGCGAACTCGATCAGCGGCAGCTGCTGCTCCCAAGTGGTCGGGTCGTCGCACGTGGCACGAATCAACTGCTCCATTGTCTGATTCGTCTGCTCCGTTTGACCGTCGGTCTCGGGGTGGTACGACGAGCTGAAATGTAGCCTTGTCCCGAACTGCTCCCAGAGGTTTTTCCAGAAGTTGCTGGTAAACTTCGTGTCGCGGTCGCTGATTATCGTGTCAAACTCATATGCTATAGTCTGTGTAGGCTGTAGTGGGGTAGACAATATGGGGTACACAATATAGGGTACACCACTTTTAGGTTTTCTTACTTGTACCCACCTACTTGCTAGTTCATTCATTCCTCATTTCTCACATGGTATAGAGCAGGTTCCCTAGTGGGAACTTTTCCTAGGGCCCACCACTGAAAATCGATTTTTTTTTCCTGCCCTGAGATCGAGTCGCCCCTGACCGAGGCGCGCCCTGTGTGCCGCCCTCCCCTTAGCGACCCGTCGCGCCGCCCTTAGCGGCCCCTCCCCCTCTCACGACCCCTCGCGACCCCGTCGTCGCCCCCTAGCGGCCCGTCGCGCCGCCCTCAGCGGCCCCTTGCGGCCCCACCTCCACGGCCCCGTCGCCGCCCTCTCGCGGCCCCGTCGCCGCCGTTCGCGGCCCCGCCGCCGCCCTTAGCGGCCGCGTCGCCGCCCGTCACGGCCCTGCCGCCGCTCCTCGCGGCCTCGTCGCCGCCCTCTCGCGGCCCCAGTGCCGCCCTCTCGCGGCCGCGTCGCCGCCCTCTCGCGGCCCTAGTGCCGCCCTCTTGCGGCCTCGTCGCCGCCCTCACGCGGCCCTTTCGCCGCCCTCTTGCGGCCCCGTCGCCGCCCCTTTCGGCCCCTCCCCGGCCACTTCACCGCCGTGCCGCCGAACCGCCGAGCCGCCGAGCCGCCGAACCGCCGAGCCGCCGAGCCACCAAGCAGCCGAGCCGCCGAGCCGCCGAGCTGCCGAGGCCGCCGTCGAGCCGCCACTACCGAGCCGCTGCCGCCGAGCCGCCGTCGAGCCGCTACTGCCACTGCCGAGCCGCTGCCACCGCGGTTGCAGCCCTGTTCCTACCGGCGAGCCCCGGCCCTACCCACCCGGACTGGTGAGAGCACTCCCTGCTAGACCACTGCTGTCATGGCTACCCCCAGTGTCCTTACCTTTGATGCTGAGGGTCGTGCTGTTGACTTCGAGGTCTGGGTCGATGACCTACAGCTCTTCCTATAGTGCGATAGGGCAGACGGACTCTCCCTGTTCGATCTCACCTCTGGTGCCTCTCCTGCCCCGCCTGCTGATGCTGACAGCACTGTTCGCTCACAGTGGGCCACACGCGATGCTGCTGCCCGTCTTGCTGTGCGTCGCCACTTACCGACCGCTAAGCGTGCGCACTTTAGTCAGTACAAGAGTGCTAAGACCTTGTACGACGCTGTAGTTGCACGCTACTCTTCCCCTGCCACTGCTGCCCTTAGCCGCCTCATGCTGCCGTACCTGTTTCCTGACCTCGCCGCCTTTCCCACTGTCGCTGACCTCGTTACGCACCTTCGCACTAGTGACACCCGCTACCGCGCTGCGCTTCCTGCTGAGTTCTGCGCCAAGAACCCCCCCCCCCCCATGTACATCACACTCTACTACATAGTCACCCGGCTCCCTGACTCCCTTCGCTCGGTTAGGGACCACTTCCTCACTGTTTGCCCCACCACACTCACCGTTGACCTCCTCGAGGAGCGCCTCCAGGCAGCTGAGAAGAGTATAGTCGCTGTAGGAGCCTCTCGAGGTGACCCTCGTGCCCCTGTCTTTGAGGGGTGCTCCCCCTTCCCCCTTTTGCCCTCTGTTGCCTCTGCTGCTGCTGTCGACTTCGTTGGCACCGAGTCGGTCGGCGCTGCGTCTGCCCCTAGCGGGCGACGCCGCACCGCCAAGGGCAAGGGGGGCAAGGGCGCTGGAGGGGCTGGCGGGGGCGGTGGAGGTGGCGGTGGAGGAGGCGGAGGGAGTGGGGGTGGTGGTGGGAGTGGTGGCGGGGGTGGGGGCTTCGGTGGCGGCGGTGGCGGCGGAGGCGGCGGCGGTGGTGGCGGTGGGAGCGGAGGAGGAGGCGGTGGCGGCGGTGGCGGAGGTGGCGGCGGAGGAGGTGGAGCTAGTCGGGGTGGCTCTGCGCAGCGGGGCGGCTTCGGTGGTGGTCATCGCCAGCAGCAGCAGCGCACTCGTGAGACCCCGCCCCCCCAGCAGCTTCGTGAGTGGTACGCTGGGCGTCAGCCTGGTGGGGGTACTGGTCCCTATACCTACGTCCTGCGTACCGGCGACCGTACGGGTGAGCAGTGCGGGGGCCCGCACCCCACCCAGTGCTGTTTCGGCCGCCTGACGGACGCCTGGCGTCTCCAGTTCCCTGACGCCACTGAGATCCCTCGCTGGGGAGAGCTGCAGAGGTCGGGGGTTGCTATCTTTGATCTTGATTATGGTGCTATTCTTGCTGCCATGTATGCTGTGTCTACTAGTGATGAGGGTGACTGTTACCTGTGTGTTCCGCCTGACCCGGGCATTGACGCTGCTGCTCTAGGTGCTGGTAAGGCTGCTGCTCTAGGTGCTAGTGCGTCTGCTGCCCCAGGTGCTGGTGAGTCTGCTCTCGCAGGTACCACGTCGGCTCAGGCCTTACACACCTTCACCCTTGACTCGGGTGCTTCTCGCTCCTTCTTTCGAGACCGCACCACGCTTACGCCGCTTAGTCGGCCGGTTGCGGTCTCCCTGGCGGACCCCTCTGGGGGTCCTGTCCTTGCTCACTTCTCCACTGTCTTACCGTGTCCGGCAACCCCCTCTGGCACCCTGTCAGGTCTCTACCTCCCCTCGTTCTCTACGAACTTGGTGAGTGGTGCTGATCTGCAGGATGGGGGGGTTGACCAGTTCACTCCTGCGAGTCAGCGGGTGACCCACTGTACGTGTGCTCGGACGGGCCGACACTTGGCCACGTTTACCCGTCAGCCGGGGTCGAGCCTGTACACACTGACTACTGAGTCTCCTCCGGTTGCTGAGTCTGGTCAGGCAGCTGCGTCGAGTGAGGTGTTTGCTGCAGCGTCCAGGTCTGGAATTGAGTCTGCTCCCTGCTCGTGTCGTCTCCTGTCCCACCAGACTCTCCTCTGGCACCACCGCCTTGGTCACCCCTCCCTGCCTCGTCTCCGAGGCATGGCCTCCCGTGTCCTTGTCTCTGGTCTCCCCCGGTCCCTCCCTCCCCTCCCTCCGGGGCCTGCCCCTACCTGCGTTCCCTGCGTCGAGGGGCGGCAGCGCGCCGCCCCTCACTCCTCCGAGTTTCCTCGGACAGAGGCTCCACTGCAGACTCTTCACATGGACGTGTGGGGCCCCGCCCGCGTCCGTGGCCAGGGTCACGAGCGTTACTTCCTGTTGGTGGTTGACGACTACTCGCGTTACACCACGGTGTTCCCCTTGCGCAACAAGGGTGACGTCACTGAGGTGTTGATCGACTGGATCCGCGCGGCTCGTCTCCAGCTCAGAGAGAGTTTCGGCTCGGACTTTCCTATTCTGCGTCTGCACTCTGACAGAGGCGGGGAGTTTTCCTCTGCCCTTCTGGGAGCCTTCTGTCGTGCACAGGGCATCCGCCAGACGTTCACGCTTCCGGCCTCTCCACAGAAAAATGGGATTGCTGAGCGCCGCATTGGCATGGTCATGGACGTCGCTCGTACGTCCATGATCCATGCGGCTGCTCCCCATTTTCTGTGGCCGTTTGCGGTTCGGTACGCAGCGCATCAGATCAACCTTCAGCCCCGGGTCTCCTTGCCGGAGACCTCCCCCACCTTGCGGCGGACGGGGAAGGTTGGCGATGCGTCTGCGTTTCGTGTCTGCGGATCTCGGGCGTTTGTCCGCGACTTGTCTGCGGACAAGCTGTCCCCCCGTGCGGTTCCTTGCGTCTTCCTTGGCTTCCCCCCTGACGCGTCTGGTTGGCAGTTTTACCACCCCACCTCGCGCCGTGTTCTGTCCTCCCAGGACGTCACGTTTGACGAGTCGGTTCCTTACTACCGTCTCTTCCCCTACCGCACTGCACCCCTCCCCCCGCCGCCACTCTTCCTTGCGCCAGGTCCCCCCCTGGTAGACCCCCTCCCCCCTCAGGGTCCTGCCCCGTCAGGTGTGTCCCAGGTAGACGCAGTCGAGCCTGTCGAGGTAGCTGTTGACTCTCGTACTACTGGGGGTGCTGAGCCTGGGGGTGCTGAGTTTGGGGGTGCTGTGCCTAGGGGTGCTGCGTCTTGGGGTTCTGCGCCTGGGGGTGCGGAGCCTGGGGGTGCGGAGCCTGGGGGTACGGAGCCTGGGAGTGCTGAGCCTAGGGGTGCGGAGCCTGGGGGTGCTGGGTCTGCTCGTGTGGCCTCTGGCGGTGCTGGGTTTGGGGCCCCTTCGGGTGCTTCGTCGATGCGAGAGCTACCCTCTCCACAGGAGCTGCGCGAGTGGTTTGCCCGGCGCTGGAGAGAGGGGATGCAGAGAGAGGGGATGCAGAGAGAGGGGATGCAGAGAGAGGGGGCACAGGGTGGAACAACAGACCGAGTGCTTCTATGAGTTTTGCTTGCTGCTTAATGCGGGTATCATTCCCAGAAATGTTGTCTCCATATTTCTTCCACCGTAGCTCGCGTCCCCTTCACTCATTCCACTTGCTTCCTGCCTTCCTGCCCCATCCTATTCCTCCCCACAGCACCCTGGACAGCCAGAAGCTGTCGGGCATTCTGCATGCTGACATCACCAAGCTCACGGCACTCACTTTCATGTAAGCTCTCTCTTTCATGTAAGCACTCACTTTCATGTAAGCACTCACTTTCTCGCTCTCTTGTCTTGTCTGCTCTGCAGCTGCACGCTTTTCTCGTTGGATCTCAACCTTCCTCCCATTGGCCCTTTGCACCCACCCACCTTTCGATAATTTCCTCCTCCCCCCTTCCTTCCCTCCTCCCTTCTCCCCTCCTCCCACCCCCCTCATCCCTCCACGCCATGGCACGGGCTGTGCGGGGCAGCTCGCCTGGAGGAGTTTGCGAGCAAGATTCCCGCGCTGCCCAACCTCGCAGTCATGTCAGTCGCTTCCCCTCCTTGCAACGCACTGCAATCGTCTCACCACTTGTGCTCTCATCGCACCACTTGTGGTCTCATCTCACCACTTCTGCTCTCATCTCACCACCTCTGCTCTCATCTCACCACATGCGCTTGCCAGCTCAACCCCTTTTTGTCTCCTTCCCAATGACTATTGCGTGTCCGTTTGTATGTCTGCCTGTGTGTCCATTTGTACGCCTGTGCATGTGTTGCATGTGTGCATGTGTGTGGGATGTGTGAATATGTGCGTGTGTGCGTGTGTGCATGTGTGCATGTGTGTGGGATGTGTGAATGTGTGCGTGTGTGCGTGTGTGCATGTGTGCATGTGTGCATGTGTGTGGGATGTGTGCATCTGTGGCATGTGTGTCCTGCAGTCTGTTTGACTTCAACTGGTTCTATGGCAGTCTGCCCCCTGCACTCGTCGCAATGCCCAAGCTCACACGCCTGTCAGTGCCCCCTCAAATCACTACCATCACATTGCCATGACTACAAAAACCCTCTAAGCCTCATTACATTACTATCACACTATGTTTCATTCTGAAGTCTCAATCATCCAATGTCCAATATTTGGCATATCTGCTCCTCCATCCATTTCTCTCCTATATATTTCCTCCACCCACCCTTCCTCCTCTCCCTGCGTCCCCCCCTCTTCCTTGCACCAGTGGCATGTCCTACAACTACCTCACCTACCGCGTGCCGCCTCTTGCCGCGGGGCTCCTGTACATCGACGTGGGCTTTAATCTCCTCTCGGGGCCCTTCCCCGTCAACACCGCCACATCTTGCGGCGCCAGCAACAACTGCTTCCAGAACGTCACCACGGGCACGGCGCAGCGCAGCACAGGGTGCAAATTCTGCAACTCGGCCACGGGGCAGGGCATGCTGTGCTACGGCAGTGGCGTCTGCACCGTCGATGCATCCGCGCCCTTCAACGCCGGGACGCCCAACGCTGTGGGCGCTGCCACGCTGCCCCTGGCTTGCGTCAGGAAGTGCCGGGTGCACAGGGGGGGTTCTGCTGCCACTGGCACACATACGGTATGAATGGCACTGCCATTTTCTGCACTGCATGCCCCTACAGCTCTCATTTGCTCCTCTCTGTGCCCTGCCTACCTGTCTGTGTCTGTGTGTGCAGATACCCTGTGTGGCTCTGCCTCGCCCATCCTGTGCCCCAAGGACTGGCGCTGCAACGGTCTGCAGTGTGTCTTGAACGTCGCCAATTGCTTTGGCTACCTCTGCGTCCCATAATGCAACAGCTGTTGCTCTGTCGGCCTGCAACAGCTGTTGCTCTGTCGGCCTGCAACAGCTGTTGCTCTGTCGGCCTGCAACAGCTGTTGCTCTGTCGGCCTGCAACAGCTGTTGCTCTGTCGGCCTGCAACAGCTGTTGCTCTGTCGGCCTGCTACAGCTGTTGCTCTGTCGGCCTGCTACAGCTGTTGCTCTATCGCCTGCTACAGCTGTTGCTCTGTCAGCCTGCTACAGCTGTTGCTCTGTCGGCCTGCTACTTGCTCTGACGCACTGCTACAAATTAGGATGCTGCTTGGTTTGCTACTGCGAATTAGCTTTGCTGCAGTGCCATTTGGCTTGCCAAAGCCGATTTGGTCTGTTGCAGAAAGAACAGTTCAGACTTCCACCATTTGGTTTGCCACGGCTAATCAGTCTGCGATGGCTCTCGGTTTTTGGTGTGCGAGGCAGCTGGCAGTGGTAGCGGTAGTGGCATAATGACTAAAACAGGGGCATACATTGTCAAATTATATTTATGCATGGTAGTTTGTTAGGCTACAGTGGGGTGGACTTTAGATAGTACAACCTTTTCAGAGTTGCCTATTTGTATTTCATCCTTGACAGTCGTCATCATTCCGTAGTTCACATTTTGAGATGGTATGATAGTGGGTTTGTTCCTAGTTCCTATATCGTGTACCTCCCTAGCTCCTAAGTTGTCTGCTAGCCAGCCAACCAGCCAACCAGAGCCAGCCAGCTAGCCAACACGTCCCAGACAGCCCGCCAGCACGCCATGCGCCAGCCAACCAGCAGCGCACTGCCCGCTAGTGCACTCGCCCACCAGCCAGCCCGCACAGCACCCGCAGCAAGCAGCGCGCAGCACGCGCACAGCAGCCGCGCTCAACCCATATGTACGAGCACGCGCACAGCGAGCACGCACAGCATCGCACGGCACCCGGGCGCAGCCCGCACGCGCCCGGCCGCCTGCGCACGTTCGCGTACACGCCCAGCGCGCAGCTCGTGCGTACCCTCACTGCCAGCCAGCCATGCACCAACAGCCGCCAGCACGTCCCACCAGCAACCCGCACCGCTAGTCCCTATTGCAACCCTGCCCTGCATCGTCAGCAAACAACGGCCCCTCGCCATGGCACTCTCACTAGCAGCCGGCAATCACTTTTACTAGCGCAGGACTTAGTGCCCGCTATTAGGCCGCCGTTCCTAGCCTAGCAGCTCCTAGCCACCGTTCCTAGCCTTGCATTCCTAGCCTGCCGTTCCTAGCCTGGCATTCCTAGCCAGCCGTTCCCTGCAAAGAGGCATTCAACATCGGTGGGAGCTAGACTATAGGAAAGGCACAAGTGGTATGAGTGGTCATAGCATTCCTTATGTAGTCTAGCACTTGCGTATTCACATGGCAAAACGACAAGAGTTTCACTAGCAAAAGTTGAGAACAATGATAAAAATTGCAATGTCGAAACTGCCTACACCAGCAGGGTCGACCGCCAGCGCAGCAAGGCGGCGCCCTGCCAACGCAGCTCAATGGCGGCTTGCCAGCACTGCAAGTCGGCGATCTGTCAGCGCTGCTCCAAGGCGGCTTCTCAACGCTGCAGCACGACGGATTGCCAGCACTGCAATCGCGAGTGACTCTAGCGCATATGCGCATTTACTTCGCAGGTGTGTGTAGATGGTTGCGCACATCGAACATTGCCCCGGACATTGCACAACTGTCAAATCAACCACATGCCAACGGTTGCGCCTAATGAGCCACGTTGACCTCGGGATACTAGCCCGAGGTCGGCTTCGCGAAAACCACATGGACAACGTTTGCGCACCCTGCAAAACTTCGTCAGACACGGTCGACCAGAAGAAGCCGCCAACGCCCAGAAGTCGGCGGCCCCCAAGTTGGCGTCCACGGGTCGGCGCCCCCCCAAGACGCCGGCGAGCACTTTAGTTGGCCACCGGCGCCAACATCACCTCGTCGACCAACGCCACTGCCGACTTTGCCAAAGTCGGCTCCATTGTAGCCGGCTTTGTTGAAGTTGGTTAATCAGCAAGTTGGCTAACCAAGCCAACTTGCTCTTCCAAGTCGGCTAACCAAGCGACTTGGCCGACCACGAAGTCGGCTCCTTGTCCCAACGAAGTCGGCGTCATAGTGGTCGGCTTCGCCAAAGTCGGCTGACCGTCGAAGTCGGATCTGCTGAGGTCGGCCAACCTAACCAACTTGCTCCCCAAGTCGGAGCCGACCACGGAGCCTAGCCGGCTGCACACCTTGCACGTCGGTCAGCAACGTCGGCTTCGCCCAAGAGAGGGCGAGGACAAACCTCTATCAACACTCCCCTGCCCAGCTCACACCTCGTAACCCACACACAAAGTTCAACCAGAACCCAAGAGATAGAATACACAGAGAGATTTGTCGGCCTGCACACAACACACAGCATGTTGGTCACCACACAAGACGTGTAGAAAGGCACGGCGCCTACTGCTGCACGCCGTCGTCACCGTCGCCGACGTCGGCCAAACGCACTTGGCCGGTCGTGACGGAGCAAAGAGGCCAAAAAGTGCAGCGCCTTCGTCATGAGGTCGGCTGGCTGCTCGATGGACGGGATGTACCTCAAAGCAATCTTCCCGTCCTTCACCATCTGTTGCAGCCAGGCGTAGCGTCGCTCCATGTGCTTGAAGTTGCTCTAGCCTTCAGCGACCGCGATAGCCAACTGGTTGTCCACCGAAGGATGGTCAGCGTCGCTACGTCAAGCAACTCGAACTCAGCGAGGAGGAAGCGATGGCAGCGAGCCTCCTTGCCAGCTTCGGTGGCCGCAACGTACTCCGACTCGGTCTTCGAAAACGTTATGCACTTGATGGGCTGATTCGTTTAGGACGCAGCTGTTACGAATAGTAAATTGAGAAGTGTCACTATGCATTTCTGCCAATAGCAAGAATGAGGAACACAGAAGGGAGTACGAAAGCGAAGGGTCGAAGCGACGAGTACGACTACGAAGCATCTGGACAGTTGGACAAGAAAACATCGGGCAGTTGCAGGGGCGATGAATTTGGCGGGAACAGTATCGTAACTGCCCGCGCCATATGGTTGGGTTTAAATTTGAATAAGAGAATGTACCCCTTAGAGTATGTGGCTAGTCTATGACCTTTCGTATTCTTCTGTACTCTTATATAAACCGTTATATTTGCATGTTTTATTCATCTCCGCCATTTTGAATCCACTCTGAGGTCAATATCTTCCGGTGCATAACTTTATTTCTGCGCACCTTCCTGAGGTGATCCTAATAACGATCAACTTTTGATCGTAACAACAGCAGCCTGACCAAAGACGAAGACGTTGAAACTCATGCACTTGTTTCCGGCATCGTCGTCATCTACGTAGCCGACAAAGCACAGAGAGTAAGGTCCGCCGCCGACCTTCAGGGTTGCGTCATGCATGTCGGCGAGGTAGTGCAGACAGCGGTCGACCTTATGCCTCTGCTGACCGCTCCGCAGTCAGGTCGGACCCCAGCTTGCTGTACGTTGTTGGAACCATATAGTTTGCGCTTCTGATGGGTCGAGCGCTATAACAAGAACGAAGCAGACTCATAGTGAAGCAATACCGAGTCAACCAAGCTCCAGCGAAGCAGTTGACAAGACAACAATATCAGGAGGTTGAAGTGAAGTTCAAAGGTCAGCAACCTTTGACTCAACAAAGGCAGCATGACAGTAAGGACAAATAACTTACTCGTTATTGAGCAGTTACCCGAGTCGTCGATCTATCGCACCGCATTAGCAGTTAATGTTATGTAATGCTATCACTTGCATTCACGTCTGTCTGCCTCCCATCACATGTTCATGCGTTGCATGCTAGTGTAAGCGTATGCAAGAATTTGTGTTTGATGTAGTTTGGTTTTTATGACTGTGCGTGAATGTTTTTTGGCTTGAGCAGATATCTCAAGTGACTCCTCTGCTCAAGACCTTTCCAACGAACCAAGTATCGCTTTAATTGGAGCACGAACAAGAAAGTTACGAACGTTAGAAGTTCGTATGCATTTGATATTTTGTTGTGGTGAGTATGGGAAGTCGTGGGGTTGACTCCATAAGAGGTATAGACTTTTGGGGGTTGGGAAATTCGTCAACATCACTGTAGATGCTGCCAAGTGGTTGGGAGGAGCCAAACCAGGTTGGCAAGTGTGGCTGGGTAAGGTGGATGGCATGGGTTGGGAAAGTGACAAAAGTAAAAATGGGAGAGGATTTGATGTGCTTATGGGGTTTCCCTGGTTGGGGACTCCTTGAGGACCTCCCCTCTTGTCCTTCTCTTCCCCTTCTACCTGATTTCTAGCTACTCCAACTTTCTTGTGTGAAACTTGTGAGACTCTTGTCATTGAGTTAAGTTTTCTGTGGCAGCATACCCCCTAGTGCGCCGAAATCCATAACTCAAGATTTACTTCACCTTTTTGTACGACTCAAATTGGATATTTTAGCCACGAATTAGAGCTACAACATATCCGAAATTTGTGAAGTTTAAACAGTGCGTGTTTCGTCGACGGCGTTTCTTGTGAGCGCGACTTTTCTGTCCAGAAATTGAGACCAAACATTTTGTGATATTTCGGCCTCTAAGCCTCCTAGACTCCGTCCTTAGTTTCTAACAAGTGGTATCAGAGCTAATTAAGGACTTTGTGGAGAGTCTACTGAAGTTTGAAGACCTTCCTAGACCCACCATGGCCTACTGTGGGCGTGCCTAAGTGGAGTTCTTGAGGTTGGATGTGACTTCCGCTAAGGGGAAAATATTGTGAAAATATAATGAAAATATTGTGAGACTTCGGTGTGGACAGCAAAGGGGGAGCTAAAACCTGTGATTGGGAGCAGAGGAGATGAGTCAAGGCAGTGAAGAAGCAGCTGAGAAGAGGAGTGAGCCGTCACGATCCAAGATTGAGGCATTGGATGGCTCCAACTACGAGGAATGTAGCGGGCAAATGAGGAGCGTCTTCAAACGCTACAAGCTCCTGAAACTTGCGATGAGAGAAGAGAAGATTCCCGAGGAAGGAGATGCTCGGGATCGGTGGATTGAGTGGAGCGCGGTGTTGTTCGACCTCATCTTGCAATCGGTCAACAACGACATGTTCCAGCACATCAAGGACTTGGTTGAGTTGGACGACTCCGGTCCAAAGGCGTGGAAGCTACTGCGCGACGTGATTCAGCCCAACATGCTGCCCATGGTGGTCGTGCTCGAGAAGAAGCTGGCGGCCATCTCCATGCGATCGGGAGATGATGTGAAGCCGGTCCTTGACAAGATCAAGGACACATATGCGAGGAT